ATAACAAATATGACCTCTTTAGAACTACAACTGCAGTAACTCTGAATGGGAAACGGACAAAAGCCCTCCCGGACAATGAATAGTATCGGTACGGTGCTAAAGGTCATGTTTAGCTATTTAACTATTCGTGGCGTCATTCTTCTTGCGTAGGACATGAAACTTTATTTTTTGATGTGGCGAAAATCAATACCAAAACACTTCTGTAATTACACCATCCGATCTAATTGCTTTAAAGTTGGAAGCACAAAGACAAAAGGCCAGAAAAAAGAAAGACTTTAGCTAGAAGGCTTATTTGTAATTCCGAAAACAGCTTTTATTTTTTTTTTACTAGACTTGGAAATGTTCTGACTTTATCGACAATGCAATGTTCAGACAGTGTAAGTCTCGGCTAATTGCTACCAGTATTTCGGTACGGAAATATCTGCACGGTTAACAGTTTAGTCGGAAATTTCTAATTGAGTAATTACGAGTTTTACAGATTGGAAAGATTCGCTTAATTTAGAACAGTATAACACCTCTCTCGTAAAACGTGCATTTATATCATCAACGTTTTTGTTTACGAACTTAATTTTATTGTATTTCTAATACCGTTATCATTCACGTTCAACGTCCGTTATTTCCGGTACGAATAATATTTCGCACGTTCAAATTCATTTTACGAAGTTTCCTTACATTAGTCGACAGTGTCCGACAAAATTCGAAAGAAATACAGTTCTATCATTGTCCTCATCTTTAAAATGTCGTCATTCAACGAGATTTATATTCTTTTAATTGTCGTGTTCTGTCGACGAATTGTCGTGCACCGTCTTCTATCATATCTCGAAAATGTGCTTTAACTATTTTTTTTATGTTTAAGACAATTTTTATTACGTTTTAGACATTTTAAGAAATGATAAAGAGAAGTAAATAATTAATGCTGTCACCTTTTATGCATTAACGTGTTTACTCCAATTGAATTTCATAGGGGTTAACCCGTTACTGCACTAAGGTGACTCTATAGTACATAATTATATTAATTTCCTTTTGGTTTAAACTGAGATACTGAATACTTTAGTCACATACCCACACATTAAATGTCATGTGGTGTCCTTCCATCTTTATCCACTGCCACTGACAGATCAGTTTTCATAATAATTGATAGTTTTCATTTAATTCTACTAATTAGTTAAAGATCATCATTTCTTTAGCTGAACTTTTTTTCATATATAATATATTCAAACAGTGGTGTCCCCCACTAGTGCACCAGACTGTTGATTAAGTTATTTATAATTAGATTTGAATGTGTCTCGTGATTTATACCGTAAATATTCAAAATTGGATATTGGGGAGAGAGAAAAAAACTTAAATAAATTAATATTGAAAACTTTTGCGAAAAATGTCACTTCAATAAAAGAAATGACATAACAAAACAAATATCAATAAAAGAAATGACATAACAAAACAAATATCAATAAAAGAAAGAAATAAAGTGGGCACGTTAATCAAAACATCAGTTGACCTTTTAAATCTTTGAGAAAATATTAGCTGAATGTGAAGGTCAACAATGACAAGTCATTTTTAATGGATTTTCTGACCGGTGTTTTAAATACACTTTTACGACACCCTTTCTGTCAACCGTTTTTCTAATGTAAAGCTGTAAAACGTTCTTGCGCTAAATAAAATACGGAATCAAAAGTAGCTGAAAATAAAAAGGATAAATTAAACATCTTTGTTATAACGTGACACATGTTAAACGAGAGAAAAATCATAAAAAGACGCGTCATATTACGTTATAAATTAAAAAGATTGAAAAAAAATGAATATAAAAACAGGATCGAATTTATGGTAATTTATGTCTTCATTTTTAGAAACAGTGTATCTTTGTTTTAATTTTTTAAATAGACAGTCGTGTAAAGTCACGGTTATGTTTATAAATAAAAATCTATTTTAGTATGTATAAACTTTTTTTGTAATCAATATATTTTATAAAATTATAATCGTACATGAATACCAAACATAAAAACAACAACAAGAACAATAATAATAATAATAATAATAATAATAATAAGAAGAATAATAATAATAATAATAATAATAATAATAATAATAATAATAAATAGATTAATAAATACAAAATGTCAGCGCATCTCATTACGAAATACCAGATTACTACAAGTGCCTGTCAAAAGGGTTTACCACGTGTTATTACGTAATATCATACAAGATGCCGAGATTTTCGCACATGCGCGAGAGATATTTGTCACAGTTTTATCACATTTGTTAAACGGGTGGATAATAATCAAATAAATAGGCGCCAACTTGCACGATGTAAGATAAACAAAGATTAGTGCAAATCTCATCTTAATAATATTGGCATTTATTGGCATAATCTTGAGATCTAAAAATAATATATTTGAGCAGTTATTATCGCAATTATGTTCTGCGGATAATTGACAGAATCGTATAGGGAAAAGATAGAACAATAATTGTAAAAATGTATGTGTAATACATAAAGTCACTTAAACGAATGCCTTTCTGAAATAGTATTATGCATCTCCGTCTATTTCTTTTTTGTTAAAAGCATTGTTTGCCAATATCATTTCTTATATTACAAACTGCGATAATATATTCGCGTATTTCATTTAAACGAACAACCCGTTATATATTTTGCCGCTGTTTATTAAGCTTAAGACCCCAAAGACACAAATATACATGCAATGACATGCCTGTTCTAATAATCTACAGTTTCGGTTGTTTTTCTTTCGGTTCATTGCAAAACAACGAAATATTGCCAAATGTATGTCTCTATGTTTTATGACTTTACTAACTTGTGTCTATTTATGTCGATATTTTAGTGTTGATGCATGTTTAAATGGTATATTTAGGGAAAATGTATAGGCAATATCTGATATATAAAAAGATTTATCACCTTAAAGTCTCCAATTCCTATTAGATTCATATCACATACAAGAAATAGGCTTTTTAAAATATCTTTTGGATAATATAACTACATACGATTATGTTTGTAAACATAAATATCTATATGTATCAGTCACTATATAGTTCAATGTATTCATCCCCAACCTTGTTAACATTTTATTAAATCTGAATTAGTAAAACATACCGAAGCAAGAAAGGAATGTTTACAGTTACTTTTATTTCGTTTGATTCATGCAGACCGCTGGAACGAACCTTTATCTGAGATATATGTCCACTATAAAAGTATGAAATTCAGAAATAACAACAACAACGGCATACAATGATGAAGTTACAAGGGATAAGTACCGTATTGTGCACTGTAACATTTAATACTTGAATTTGTGATTTCTCTAAAAGAGATGGTTACCTGTCGGAGTAAGTTTAAACAGGTATGAGGACAAACATGTGTGTGTGTGTGTGTGGGGGGGGGGGTCCGGGAGGGGGGAGGGGTATCGTCTTCTTGAAATATCGCTTTATCTCGAATAAAATGTGTACAATGTACATGTAAAGGAAAGTTATGTACGTTACCCATAAAAAGCATCAGCTTGATGAGAAACTTGCTGGTAACAGTCGCTCGTAAAATGTATAGTGTATTCTTTCTGTGAAACCAAGTACAGAAATGCTTGTTTCTTATTATATAAATGATGTAAGCTTTTTTTAACGAAAAACTCTCTTATTAAAGCGCAGCAGCAGGCAGCATCATTTCCCGTCTTTGATTCGATTTGTGTTGTGGTAATGAAGACATTAACGCGTTGATTTGATGCCTTCTGAAGTATGCCCTATGACGCGCACGTGCTCATTATCTACATGCGACGATATGCGCACGTTGTAACATCATAAAACTATGCCATAATTTGGGCTTATCAGTCAAATGCTTGGTGCAAAATAAACAAAGGAATGTTTGCTTTGTTGATAAATGTACGTTATATTTTGTTTCCATAATTTTGATGTTGATTATTTTGTTATTGATTCAGACGTTTATATGAAATTTTCTTTACTCGTCCTTTATCTTTCTAATACTTTAAGATATTACCATCATGTAAGAAAAGCATGAGAAAAAGAGATACACAAGTCTTTATTACATAAAATGAGATTAATACTGGTTAAAGGATGAGAAAATCTTACATAAACAAGCCAGTGTCACTGGTCAAGTCCCTTTACGCATTGCAGTGTCTTACAAATATAATGGTATTGAGACACGTAAATGAGACATCTTAATAAAGTCCGTCAACCGTGTCGTCTCCGGACCATTCTATTTTATAGACCCTGCTTTACGTAAGAAAACGACACAGTCAATTTATGTTTAAATACCAAAAATAATGCACTGATCTTTCATTGATTCACTTTAATGGTATTCTGTGTTAATCTTTCACGAATACAAAACAGCCATATAATTGTATTAACAAGAGAACTTGAAAACCGTAAGAAGAAATTCCCTCCGGTATTAAACATTTTTTTCTACGGTCATAAAAGGCGGGGGAAAATTGCTTATACATACAATTCTTTAATGTGTGGATGGTAGTTGCTTTTAAGAAAGCAAAATCTTTTTTTTTTTAAAGGAGAGAAATTGTAAGAGTTTTCGTCCAGTGAAGGCACTCCGTTTTCTATTTCGCTGTGACAATAAATTACGTGACTCATGGATGTGTATTTAGTTATATATGTATATAGCGTGTGCTATGAATAGGAGGGCCAACTTGTATGCATTCATTGAACACTAGTATATATGTCTATTTATTTTGTAACATTTGAATCATGTTAACAAATCAAATTTGAGAAAATGTGTATTATTGAAGTGTACTATCATAGTGGTGTGTTATTCTTAAATGGTATCATCTGTTAACTTTATCTTAATTGCTTCGAATTCCCAAAGGTATACACTTTCTTACTTTCTGTCTAAAAGATAGACTTTAACGCCTTCTGAAAAATCTTCGTCGTGATTCCCTTGCGAATCAAAGAACTCTTAAATGTATATGATGCTGAAAGTATGCCACACGTGATTTCATCAATAAAAGGTCTATAAATAGAAAATGAAGTACACTCACCCACTCTGAAATGATCCGGCAATCCCGCCGTCGTCGGGGAATATAATCCATAAGTTAAAATCAGCGACCACACAAACAACAACATTGTAGTCTTTTTTAACTACAGATGTGTAAAGCTCTGGGTTTAATAGATCAACAGATTCACAAAGGAATAACAGACTCTTAATCTCCCTTACTGATAAGCCTTCGTATAACTCTGCGGGGTTCTTCGAACGTGTTCAACATGTATGCATAAACTCCACGCGCGTGCTTTGAATATGTCAAAATAATAAACAACACGCTAACAAGGCATTAATGTCCAACTGTTTAAGAAAATTTACGACTGCATTGAAAATGTCATTCCAATTTCACGAAAAAGATAATGAAAATATTAAGTGAAAGGAAGAAAAAAAAACACAAATAAAAAACGTTGAAATATTCTTCAGAGATATGATTTTCCGGTACACGTGAAGCATCAATTGATGTTTTCTTTCATTTGAAGTTTACACCGTTTTCACGCTGAGATGAGGAACAAAAATAATTAAAGAAAAAACGTCGCTAGACTTAAATGTCCTATCAATTATGCAACACTGAAGCTCTAAACTAATTCCAAACATCTAATTCCTTGTCGCGAGCAGACGTTTAAGTAATAAAAGAATCTTTGACAAATCCTCCGAGATGTATTCCATGCAAACCAAGAGATCTTGCAAGTTTTCCGCGACTAAGAATCTTCCTGTATGTTTCCCGACTTTTAACCACTTCCTAATTGCTAATATATAACACCTAAGTATACCTAAGCATTGCTTTTTCCGCACTCTTAATGCCTGATTTTTTTCTTATCTTACTAAATGAAGATTAAATTCTTGGAGATATGAACACCGGCAAGACGGTGCTTGATTATAAATTTTATATACACACGTTTTTTTTCCTTCTTCGGAACAACTTGTTTTTCACACCAAATCACAAACATTTAACAACTCTTTCATTAATCGAGTAAAACTTAAACCAACAATTCATTACCAAATGTGACGCCATTTATATGAATAATTACTTAAGAGTTAATCAAAACTGATCACAACAAATATAATCCAATAGCGTATAAATTCCGCTTATTCAGAATTACATGGTATTGATAGCACGTTTATTCTAAAAGCTTTGGCGAAATAAACTCCTGACGTTTCTATTTATACAGGCAAGACGCTTTATATATATTTAAGTATTCCGGTTAAGAAGTTAAATCATTTGTATAAAGGATTAAATACAGATTCTCAATGCCAGCTGAAGGAAGATATCGGCAATTGAATCGGATTAGCTTTTATAGGTTTTTTTTTCTGTAATCCAAACTCTCAACTCGTAAAACAAATAATTCCAATAGTTATCGATACACACTGGCGAATACTTCACGAAAACTGTATGATATAATTCCGTTATTCTGTTATTTTTCGGTTCACATACGATCTATGCACCCTCTCAGATGATCATTCGCACGACGTGTTGTTTTCACGTATTTACATGTTACTGGAATATTGTGTAGTAAATATATATACTTGCGAAAAAGCCAAAATTCTCTGTGGAAAATAATGTAGAAAGTGATCCCTGTAGCAACGTTCGGCTGATTCTCGTGCAGTGTTCTGAAGTACAAAGAAAAAATTGGTAAATTAGAAACACGTGCGTGTTTTTCTCCGAGTGAATATTAGACCTACATATGTTTCTTAATTGATAATAAGTTCGGGATGATTCGGGCCAAGGTGTTATTAAGGTAGTTCTGGCCGCTATCTTATCAGCCTGAATATTAAAGAGAAACGCTGATGAAAATCAGCTTTAAAACATATAGTTTAGACAAAAATTAAATTGATATACGGGCTTATTTTTTCGCTAGACTTAAATATAAATCATGTTATATATTCATTCATTTCTAAATTATTTTCTCCACCTACGTCACAGATAGAAAGCGCTATTATATTATTATTATTATTATAATTATTATTAGATTATTATTATTATTATTATTATTATTATTATTATTATTAATATCATCACTATTATTATTATAATTATTATTAGATTATTATTATTATTATCATCATCATCAGATTATTATTATTATTATTATTATATTTTTATAATTATTATTATTATTATCATTATTATTATTGCAAGCAATGTATACCAAAACTGTTACTTTATTGTAAATAAATAATATTGTTACGGTTTCACACATAATTATAACCCTGGTATAAAAAAGTCTTTATCATTCATCGTGTAAATGGGTCCTTTTCCCCTCTCTTGAATATTTATACGTAATTTATTCATTCTTAAGTATAAGCATAGACGCAGACATCCATATATAAATAATAAAAACCGCAAACTACTTTCAAGGGTTATTATTAATAACTTAAATACACTCTCACAGAATTTTGCAATAAAGTGACTCTTTAAGATTAAAAGTATTCAACTTAATAGCAAATACAAACTGGAATTAGTCATAAAAATGTTATCCGTTAAAATAGAATGATTTTTTAAATAATGATACATGTATATGTACATTAAGATACATTATATTGTAAATGTACCTATTATACAAATTAATTTTGCGCTTGGATGTGTAAAACATATACACAACAGGCATTTTTTATAGTATATACATTTACATATAAGTACATTATACATATATAATTCGAAAACAATACAGGTTTCCATTAATAGTCAAAAATATAATGTATATGCTATAGTTATATAGGCAGATAACTTTAAAAAGACCTCGGCGACCCCACCCCTTTTTTCTTTCAAGTTAGCAACACAATTATATCCTTTTATAATAATTATGATGTATTTAGCAATGATGACCAGATGAAAGTTATCTACAAACATCCTCGGATCTCTTTCATTATTTCCCTAAAATTATATTATTGTATAAAAGTCCCATGCAATTAATTTAAACTTTCCGTGTAATAACGTCTTTTCGTTTCTTTTTTCGTGACATTTTGTGTACAACGCGCTTTTTCGTTTACATTTGAAGCACGTGCAAAGTCTAAACCACGTAAAACCACTCTTTCAAGTTTAACAACAACGTAATGTCATTGTTTAATGCCGTTTTGTTGCAATAATTAAATAAAATCGATCTGGTCCGAAGAAAAGTTATGTATGATTTAACCTTTTTAGCATGAAATAATAATAAGAATAAGAAGAAGAATAAAATACACACAAACAATTCATACTGTGATGTCATAAGTTCAATTATCCGTTCATTAATCCCATCATGCAAAAAATAAGACACTTATACATAAAACCGCGAAGTTAATCGACTGTTGTAGAGACCTAAATACTATCATATTTTAACCCCCATTCCTCGAGTATATCAAAACATGTTTTAATAGCTTAACTGATTAATGAAACAGCTGTTGTCGAGATCTCGTCTTACACCGGAACCGTTCAATATGGATGATAAAAGAATAGCGGAAGATGGTTTAAGACATTGTTTAACCTTAATGCCAACTTAAATTCCTAATTAGTGAAATATGATTAATGGTATTGTATACAATAACATTTTATATAGATGACCTCACTAAAAGAAAACGTGCGTCACTGATTACTGGGAGGAGATTACCTGAATTACTGAATTAACTGAAGAAACTAACCTTGAATTTAGGTTTAAAATCTTTATATACGAAGAATTTAAATAATTTTTCGCCGGATGTTATCCGCTGTTTATTTTATACACAATGTACTTGTTTTAAATGAATCATAAAGATACCAAACTTAACACATTTACATAAAGGATTTAATTAAAATATTCATGTAAAATACCGAGCTTTACCCATTCATTAAATTATTCATAAACATTACCAAACTTTACGCATTACAAATATGGGTGAAATTTCTGTATATTTTAGCAAGTAACTGACTACTTTCCTTATATTTATACTCGTTAAAAACTATGAATGAACCACAAATTCATTACATAAAACTGCGAAACATAACTTTTCCGTTTTACGGGAATGAAAAATACATTCTTCACAAAAAGAGTTTTGTATCAAAAGCTCCCCGTGTTATCAATGCGTATATTCCGTAAAATATGACAATAGCACAGGAATTGTGCAAAAGAACGAAGTAACACGCCAAATTTGTGCAAAAAATGAACATCTTTTTCCGGCCGAAATGAGCTACACGGTATGTGACCGGATCAATATACTTTATAGTTAATTATGGGATATGCACGGTTATTAAAATTAATGAATGATTTTTTTTCTTATTCAATGGTGATTACTACGGAAGAGCATTAGTGCCAGGTGTATGTTTTTTATTAACTCGAAATTTCGAGTTACTAACTCGAAATTTCGACTTACTAACTCGAAATTTCGAGTTACTTATCTCGAAATTTCGAGTTACTAACTCGAAATTTCGACTTACTAACTCGAAATTTCGACTTACTAACTCGAAATTTCGAGTTACTTATCTCGAAATTTCGACTTACTAACTCGAAATTTCGAGTTACTAACTCGAAATTTCGACTTACTAACTCGAAATTTCGACTTACTAACTCGAAATTTCGACTTACTAACTCGAAATTTCGACATACTAACTCGAAATTTCGACTTAGTAACTCGAAATTTCGACTTAGTAACTCGAAATTTCGACTTACATTGCACGACTTTCATTGGTTGCCGGTGAAAGCAAGGATTGAATTCAAGATACTTTCTTTCGTGTGTAGTTGTTGCACATTGACAGAGCACCTTTAACATTTATTTAACAGAACAATTTTATAGGGTCAAATTGTCCACACATACTGAACATATCCTTCGCTTTTTTGTGGAGGGGGGGGGGGATGTAAAATCACACTTTCCACATTTCCGTGTTAACAGGGTGTTTCTTTTTCTTAAGCACACATACAACCATCATATGGAGAAACAACAAGTCCAAAACCCACCCTATTGTAAACTGTGCAATATCATGTGTTAAATAAGTTTTAAATGACGTGTATAGGCCAGTTAGTCTGTCACGTTTCTTTATACTAATAATGTTTTTGTAACATTATTCATTATTTACTAATACTTTGATTCATATTGTGTTGATAAAAGTTGATAAAAGTGATACTTGTTATAATATATATGTTGGGAACAATATAAAAGCATCCGATTTTACAAGAAATATAGTCAGTCAAACAATTTTGACAAAGGCCTCAGCACGCCCTATTTTGGCCACGCCGCGATACTTTCCTCAGATGTCCCACACGTAAAGTATAGGATCGGTCTTTTTACAGGGATGAGAAGAATATGATTAGTGAAAAGATATGTTCGAACAGATGGGATACAATACAACGTCT